CCCCCCCCGAAATCGTACTTCCACCATCTGTTTTGACCGCTTTACAAATCACTTCGTCGGAGCTCCCGTAATGCCTCTCCAGTTTGCACAATTGAAGCTCGGTTTGCGCTCTATCTGGACTTGTGCGCTGTCAATAAAATACAAGAAAGCCCAACTTTCCGTCATTTTCCGCCAAACTGACACTTTTTTCATGCCACCCATGTAAACCGAAGCGTGATTTTATCTGCACGATGAGAACCACTTTGGAGAGCGCGGGGTATTGTCCCCGCAGACTGCTGGGGGAACACGACTGGGTGACCGTCGCTACCCCTTGCGTTGGGACGGGGTGTCGACACACATACTCTACACAGCTAGGGCTAGGGCCAGCATTCCGGTGAGACGATACTCCCTATTCACGTCCAGTATCTTCCATAATATTTACATTGTATACACTAAATGGGTTTGCAGAGTGATACAGTTGATACTGCTGATGCATCGAAAGGATCGAGCAGAAGACTGCACTAATGCCGTGCGGAACAGACTATCTGCGCTCCTGGCGTTGATAAGAAGTCACAAGGAGAATCCAAATTCACACCATTTCATGATTAAAACTTAATTATCAAGCAGTTATCATTGGGAACCTTATTAGTCTGCAAAGCAGATTTACATGTTTCCCTTCTGGGTGCGAGGCTTTGCAAGTCATGGCAGATAAGAGAAACAGTCTGCTCCTACACACCCATTTCTCTTCCTACTTTATCTTATCAGGTGAAGAGAGAAAAATAGAGGTCTAATACCCTATCTCAGTAAATATAGTGATGGTATAGTGGAGGACCATTTAGTAAGCAGACTGGCAAAAGAAAACAAAAATTTTTGTAAAAATCTTAGTACGTTTATTGTATGAGAATAGGTTCTTTTAAAAAAAATAAAATACTTTTAACGATCACCGGCGGGGCGCTTAGCAATGTAGCTGGCAATGGCAGGGGTGGCTTCTACTTTCTTGACCAACTCTTGCAGAGCGGGATAACCCTCAGTAAAGTCACTTCCGTAGATGAACTTGAAGTATTTTAGAGGTGCGACAAAGTAGACATCTGCCCAGGTGAGCTGAAAATTTAATCCAAACAATTAAAATATGAATGTGAATATCATCTCCATTTTATTTAATTTCTGGTTCATACCTTTCCATTGACAAGGAAGCCATTGTTGTCCTTTACAATTTGTTCAAACTTCTTCAGGTAGAAAGTTACTTGGTCCTTCAGGTCCTTCTCCTTAGCTGCCTTACTTTCAGGAATGGGGTCATAGAACCAACCACCAATCTCTGAAATTGAAGAAATTGAGTATTATAAACCTAGTTATCTAGTAACGAAATATTTCAAATGATATCATTGTTCAACTTACTTTGACGGAAGTCATGGAAGAGATCAACAGCTTGATCAATCTGGAGATTCTCAAGATCATCCTTGCCAGATAATCCCACCTGTTTAGCCAAGTATCTGCTAATGGCAGTTGATTGAGCATAAATCTTGCCATCAATATCTAAAACGGGCATCTGTCCAAAGGGCATTTCTGTAAAGGTAAAATAGAGTTTACGTAAGGCCAACCAGTTTTAAACAGTAGTTATAAAGAGTAGTTATTTTTGAAGAAGTTACTTACTGCTTTTAGACTCTGCCCACTTAGCATCATCGTAACGGATATCCTCCCAGTCAAGGTTGCCATAAGAAAGCAGGAATCTGATGGGCTCACCGAGAGCGGTGACATCGAAATAGTGAAGCTTGTATTTGGGGGCCATGGTTGCTGAAATCAAATAGAGGAGAGCCATGGTAAGCCTACCTACAGGTCTCAACGCTAACAAGGCTTGACAGGTCGTCACTGACGGGGGGTGACTGCTCAACACAGAAAGTTGAGCAGCTTGTGAGAAAGTAGGTCTGTAATTGCCGACACTGCTGCCCACCCCCGCTAACAAATAACCCAAGGGAAAATAAAAGCAAACAGTAAAACTTCAGAAGCATGCAGACTTCTGTCAGTACAAAGAATTAATGATAATGAAAAGTTTCATTCTCATACCAATAGGGGATTTAATGGAGCGTGTATGTGACTATGACAGTCGGAGCCGAAAAGTAAAGCAGCCACACACCTGTCAACCTGTTCGCAGAGTCGCTGCCGAGCACAGGTGCCGTGCCAGCCAGTGCCAGTGCCCCAGGTGCACGTGCACTCGACGCCGGCTTAGTCAGGTAAGTCTCCCTCCACTTCCTGGCTGGCTATGAACGACATGAGCGGGAGGGTGAGGGGAAGGCCGGGACGGGGACGAGCGGAAGCCGCGGAAGCCCCCCTCCCCTCCCCCATCCCCCCCCCCCCTAAGTCAAACAGCCCACGCCCACACAAGCCCCACACACAGGACCAACGCCCCGGACATATTATGCAATGATCGGGAGCAGACAGTGTACTGGCAAAAGTACTACCTAACCAAAACTATCCACATGATCAGAGCTTCAAAACTCGACCACCCGCAGCTAGACAAAGAGCTAGTGTGGTGAAGCCATCTTGGCCCCACAGGCACCAAACACTGGCAGTTAAGCCCAATTGAGCACCCCCCTTCTCCTTTCCCCCAAATAGACGCGAGAGCAAATAACCGGGTGATGTGAGACTCCTATGTTCTAATAGAAACAACTGCAAAATTGATGATCTTCAAAGTTCTTCTAACAATCCTAACAAGCGAAAAATTTAGAACGAAACGGAGCAGTTACGGCGTCGATTCCAGCATTTAGACGTAGTTACGATGCCGACACAAGTACCACTTCTCACCGGGTAGTTCTTTTTCACAAAGCCTAGAGTCTGCGACATTGCGGCCACTGTGGAGATAATGCAGAGACACAATTTGATAACTTACATTAGTGAGATGTGATCGTTAGAAGTACGGTTGGCAAATACGGCGGGACCTCCTTGGGCCGGCGATGTAGCTGGTGAAGTGACGGGAAGACGCCGGGCGTAGCTGGTATTTATTTGTTCGGTCTGTCAGCCCACAGCCCCCCACCCCACCGCCGAACGGGAGCACGGGAGCACCACCAGCAGAGAATGGGGCAACACCTAACCAAGCTCCGAATGCTGCACTAAGTTGCGGATTGGATGAAGGACGTTTGATGATTTTGATGAACGAAACAGTTTCTAGGTTGATTGTTGTTTTGACGGTGGTAGTTAATTTATTATGAGGCAGGTTCCGGATATCATCTGCGCCCAAGGATGAATAGTCTAACGTCGAACCAACGTAACATAGGGTAACCTGTAAATAATTTGATATTGATATTTTCTTTAAAATCAATTTTTTTTCTTAGCAAATCAAGGTCAAGAGAGATAAAACCAATTTTTACGCGCTGAACTTGATAAATTGCATCTGTGAACATTCTGACCAAAGAAATTCCTGAAATGACTATTCGCAAGTAACTGAAGTTATGTTCTTCCATTTTTTTCGTCTGCACCTGACCTGCCTCTGATTGCTGCAGTTGCGGTTCTGACCTACACATCTTCCTTGGTTTCCATGAATATAAGACAATAAAACAGTATTATCGGAAGATAAGTAGTAAAATATATCTATCACATCATGGCATTCATTGGTCTACTTCGTTCGGCTGCTTGCCGAGGCATTGGTGAGTTTCCTGACGGCGAAGTATACAGTTCAAACCAAAACACCTGGAAGCAGAAAGTCATTTATATTTCTGGATCGTTATTTGATGAATCATTTAGCAATGAGAAGGTTTGAAATTCAACCAGAAAATAATTTTGTGAGTTCAAGTTACTTGAATTTGTTCTACGAGAGTTGCCTAACCTCAAAGAAGTTGAGTTGACACTTAGTCATTAAGTTGAAAAACATAACCAATTCTGTATTCTGTCTACCAAGTTGTCTTGAAGTTGAGTGTCTACTTCTTTTTTTCTTTGCTTCTTTCCTTGTACGCAAACTAATCAATTTTTTACTTTTATACAGCATGCCAAACTCAGTCCCTTCAAACCCTTTCAAGAACCTCTCTCATCTCGCCTCAAATTTTAAAGTCATCGTTCACCAATCACACTCTGCCTGGGTTTAGCCGCCTTCAGCCTGGTCGGATTAATCAGGTAACAAAATAATGGCAATTGTAAGTCTCTTGTATATTAACAATGTTTATCATTTTATCTTTTTCTGATTCTAGGTTCAATTTTTCTCACTCAGTCCTAAAAGCTATAGTGCTGGTGCAGGGCACAACCACTCCAAACTTTGGACTATTGAGAGAGCCCTCAGTGCAGTATTGATTCTTGTTGTACCAGCTGCTCTTGCAGCTCCAAGCAAAGCACTAGATACAGTTCTGGCTGTTACTTTGGTCATGCACAGTCACTGGTAAAAAACTATTAATTTATCATTAAGGTGTACAGTTTTTCATCCAACATTTGAATAACCATTTCCTCTTCCTCTACAGGGGTGTCGAGGCCGCTGTTGTGGATTATGTACGGCCTATCATATTTGGAAATGCTTTCCCGAAAGTAGCCTTGGGAGGTGTTTATGTGCTGTCAATTGTTACATTGGCAGGGTTACTTCAAATTATTTACACTGACATAGGTCTGGCAAATACGGTCAAAAAAATTTGGAGCCTGTAATATTGTGTGTTCAGATGTATTAGCACTTATTTAATTGTGACTATTTATTGCGACTTCTGTGTTAAGCATTTAATGCTTTCCTATTCAAAGACCATTTAAACTGATGCGGTAGAGTTTTTTTGGTATTTTTTTTGTTCTCTAAAACCTATTGCAGCTAAAAGCTTTTATCAGGATAGGTTCATCTCATGGTTTTTATTACTTTTGAACCTTAACGTGAAAATATTTGGGTAGGTGTAATTTGGTTTTAATGTGAAACAACCAAAATGGTTGATTCCTAAACAGTACTTAGCAATAATTCTGGATCTGCTATTTTGTACCTGCATGAGATTGCTCAACTCCTGATTAAAGCAGTTTGTCTCAAACTTAACCTTTGTCTCACTGTCCAAACTTGATTTCCATTGTCATTCACACTTGTCATTTGATGACTAAGAATTGTAATGGAGTGGATATAGATCATAAGTCAACAAAACATTGCATTGTTTTTGGGAATTTTATATTTACTCACAAGACCTAAGTACATGTACAAGGACATACCATGGGAATGGGTTTTCAAACTATTTACAGATATCACAATAGGGCAGTTGTTGAGCTAAATTAATCACATTCATTCTGCCATAATAACTACTAAGCATTCATTTAAATTTCTGCAGCGTTGTTATAAAACCATTTAAATATTGAACAGTAGGTATGAACAAATAAATAAACTAAGAAATGTATTTATAACCCAGAAACACAAGGAGAAAAGGCAATTGCCTTGGGTAAACTGCAGGACATTAGGAAAACTGGACTTAAATAATTACACATCATAAAAAAGGGGCTCTGCGATGAAAATATTCAGAGAAAAACTAATGGTAGATAATCCTGTTAAAAGATTTACTAGGTAAAATTTAGGTACTCAAAATTTGAAA